CCAGAAGAGCCCGGGCTCGGAATCTTGGAGTCCCCAGAGCTGCCGAGCGGGCATGCATGCTGAGCACATGGGCAAATGCGCTGTGTACCTCGCGAGGCATTGCTCCGACTATGCGAGATCGTCGGGTGGCTGGGTCTATTTTGGAGACCTGGTGCGGAAGATTGCAGAGGACGGCTTTCCTGTCCAGTCATATGCTCTTGCCGCCAGAGACAGTGGAAGTTTTGGGGATACTCCCCAAAGATAGTAACCGAATTGTTGGAACAAGTGTTCGCAGAATGTGGACACAGTACAAGTCGTGCCCATCACAAGAAAGAGAGAGGAGCGAAATTGTGATACCCATTTTCTATAGGGCATGTCAGGGACATTCCACGCTCGTTGCCTCCATTGAAAGAATGTACGTCCCATATGACCCTGGCCAAGTCAGGAGTCACGGATCCCTTCTCCATGTCACAGACATGCAGACGTTCCTGGAGTCCACAGATGGGAGGGTACGCTTTCCGAAGAAAGACTCAGGGCTTTGCCTCGAAGCAGACTACGACTTGCTGAGGCTGCTTCCGACTAAAAGAAGGCCGACGATGCCTAATGCGGAACACATTCCTCCGTGGCTCAGCCAGCGGAGGCACGGGGAAGCTCCCCCTCCAAGGCATTTTGTGTCCATGGGGCGTGAGGCACAAGAAGGAGAGTTGCCGACTGTGGGGACTTGGCCCGCAGACGACGCTGTCCATTTGTGGGAAAAGCTTCCCAACCACAGAGACTCCTGGGAACTCATCATTGTTTTCACGGGCCGAGTGCTCGCTCGTTTCTCGCGCAGGATTTGCCCAGGCGGGACCCTCGTGTCTCGAGAGGTGCCGACGTTCACTGATATCGACAAGGCCGTCACCGTTGGTAGAGTTGGACCTGAAGATGGCACAATAGCACATCATATGTTCTGGTCCGTTCTCTTCAACCGTGAGTGGGCCTCGTACGAAGTGACTTTTGACAGCGAGTCAATAATTGCTTGGATCCACACAGACGAGACTCTGTCGTTGGTTCAGAGTCGCAGGCCACAGTTGTCACCCGATGCACAAGAACGGGTTCTATCTGTCCCTTGGGAGGATGACGGGGGGTTCCTGCGCTTCCGATTTCACTGGGTGCGCACGGGCTTCGAACACTGTCCAGTTTGCAGCTGTCGGATCAAATGCAAACACAGAGTCACACACGACTATATGACTCAGACGTGGAACTGGAGGACAATTCCGCGATCCCTTGAGGCAGACGGACTTAGATTACATGTGAGTGATCACTACAATCTTCCCAACAATCGTCCAGAATGGATCACAGCTCGTGGGACAAGACAACAGAGAGCTTCTGCGATCGTGATGAAGAACATTCGCAGTAACCAACAACAGGAGCGAAAGTGGGCGAATGGGGAATATGTTCGCATGGCTGCAACAGGCCAGATCTTCGGGAACGGCCAGCCAGGCAATTTCCCTGCTTGGGTTCCAACGGACGCCGCGGCTCAGCCGCCGGCGCGCCATGGCCCTTTCTTCCAGTATTTGAAGCCCTTGGTCCGAAGGTTCATTTAATGGCTTGCGTTCTCAGCCTCGAGAGCGAGAACGCAGGTTCCTGTGATCCAGGTCTGGTGGCCATTGCTGCGGAAGACAAATATACACCAGTACGCTCGCCCAAGATCTCCTGCCCGGCTCTAGCAGCCTTCGACTGGCCAGAATATCAGGACGACGTAGTCGAACCTGTGCTGGGTCGGGAGAGATGGCATAATCAGATGACAAGACAAAGTGTCTTTGTCCCGACGATTCAGACAATTAATGACGCGGTAACCATGGGAACACCGTGGTTGCCGGCACAGCAAGAAGACGCCGCGGACGACGCAGGGCAAAACCCTCCCGGAGGACAAAACCCTCGCGCAAGAATACCAGTTGCCTGGGAGAACAGTCTCGAGGCGAGGCCAACTCGCAGTTCTCAGTCCGTCGCCAGACGGATTAATGAGTGTCGCGATCATCGCCTCATAGTGCCACTGTTGCAACCCGCCACCGGCGCAGCCGCGACGGCAGGCGCGCAATCACGGGTTGGACTTGACTTCTCGGCAATCAGCGGGCCTAAGGCCGCGCTGATAACCGGAGGGACGATCAACCTTGATCAGCCTGACCGTTATACATATACCCACCGGTCGTTGAAAGTAGGTATTTTTGGATTCCCAGAACCCAATCTACTTTAAGCGCCTTCCTATTTCAAGAATCATTACTTTTTGTTTTTTTGTGGCGGGCGCAAACCTAATCTACTTCTAGGGTTTGGTTGTCACTTCCCTGGGTGACGCTGGTCGCTCGGCCCCTCGGCTGGCCCCATCTCTTGGTTTTGTTGTTTTGTGTTTGTTTTCGCATGGCCGTCGGCTGCACTGGTCGCCCCAGGCTCGTTCGCCGCCCCGCGGTCGCTCGGCCCCTCGGCTGGCCCAATTCATTGGTTTTGTTTGTTTTTGTTTGTTTTCGCTTGTCCGTCGGCTGCACTGGTCGCCCCAGGCTCGCCCGCCGCCCCGCGGTCGCTCGGCCTTTCGGCTGGCCCAATTCATTGGTTTTGTTTGTTTTTGTTTGTTTTCGCTTGCCCGTCGGCTTCGCTGGTCGCCCCAGGCTCGCCCGCCGCCCCGCGGTCGCTCGGCCCTTCGGCTGGCCCCATTGCGAGGACAGCTCGATAAATATATCTTTACACGGGTTAGAGGCTAGGGCTATCGCAGCACAATATGTTATCGAATACACAGGCATTCGCTCAAACCCAGATGATCCCGGTAGATTGCAACTGACAAGGGAAATGGAGCACGAGGCCCCACCGATTGTGACGGACATAGTCGAAGGGAACTGGATGGCCCCCGTACAACAGATGCAACTTGGTCTTCGCATCATAAGAATATTTGCTATCGTTTGCGAGACCATGAGCTCCTTCATTTCAGATGGACATTTTGTCGGTTACCCGGGGCGAATAATTCGTCCCGGTAGAGAGAACGCAGACCCCATTTACTTGAAGCGACGGAGAGATGAATATGCTCTTGACTGTCGCATTCGCGCCGCCGTCCCGACGGACGACATCATAGAAGAGTGGGCCCGTAATTTGGGTAGGCAGGTGCAAACCGACGTTCGTCGTGAGGGCGCATTATTACAAGAGGCCGTTTCTTGGCTTCAGAACAGGTACATAGATCCTGGGACAGAGCTCCAGGATAAAGACGCAGGGCCATTCCGCACTGCATGCGGAAGATTCGGCATCCCAGTAGCTGCAGCTGCTAGGAGTTCGTTGAAGTTCAAGCGAGATCGAGAGCAGAACGTTCGTGAGAACAGAAATGCCAATCCGCAACACGGCAGCGAAACTGACCCCACGGGGCCAATAAGATCAGGATGCGGTGAAAGCCAGGCCGCAGCCACCACCTCCACCGCGCAGACCCAACGTCTCAGACGCTCGGGCTGCCGATGAAGTTACCGAATCCCCACACTCTGTCGCCGGCACAGCTGCGACGACAAGAGAGGAATATTCATGGTATTCTGACGCATGGGATTGGTCGAGGCCCCAGCGCGCGCGATGGAGCCATGGATGTCGGCCGCGGCGCTGCCGGCTACGACCCGCTCCTGTCCTACCCGCACTACGTGAATAATGTGCAGGTCGGGCACTACGTCCACCGGGACCGGATCACGCGGTTGTCCGACGAGGTCTGGTGGACGCAGATTTGGCATGCATTGCCCACGTTTGAGCATGACGTTCACTTCCCGCCGAAGGGGGAGGCGTCCAAGAGCAAGGAGAAGAACTACAGTGCAGCATACTTCACTAATAGAGGCAAAGGACGGTCCCGCTCGCCTCGTGGCGGCGACGGACAGACTGGAGGCTCGGCGCCGTCGAACCCGACGCCTCCGGCGCCACCGACGGGAGAGGAGAACCCGCGGGGGGAGCTGGGCTGAGATCCGCCCGCGTGACTTAGTCGCGGCAGGCGCATGCAAGAAAGTTCTCGTCCGCACGACGAAGTCGTGACGGACGGGTAAGCGACTCTACTGGTCGGCTAAGCCGAACCAGCAGAAATAATTTATTTATATGATTGTGGGAGTCGTCGGGCCTCTTCGGCCCTTGGCCCCTGGTGGCCACCGTTGAGCGGTAACAGTTTTTGCGGTTCGCTCCGGTGGTTGCACATATATAGGCCAGGGGTGCTGTGGCCGGATGGGCTCTACGAGGCCCGCCGCGGGGGGAGTAAATAAGCTCGTCTCCGCTTCATATTAATATCGCTTGTTGTAACACTTGCATGCTGTGCACTGTATGACTGTAACTTGTACTGCATTATGCAGCTGTTTGTTTGCTTGCAGGAGCTAAAAGGTGCGAGCTGGCCCACTCGCGCGCGCCGCGGGGTCGCCCCCGCGTCGTCGTCGTGTCGTCGGCCGGCCGGCCACCTCACTTACCATTCCTGATACAGTAAACTTGTTTACCGGATACTTGTCTTATCGATGTCTCATCCCGTACCTTCTCTCTCTCTGAGCAGCGTGAACATGAAACCTTAATTCCTTTGTCATCTCACCCCGATTCTCAGATAAAAGACTCCTCCTCCTCCTCTTTTTCACCACTCGCTCCTCACTCCTCACTCCTCACTCCTCACTCCTCACTCCTCACTCCTCACTCCTCCTCCTCCTCCTCCTGCACATCCTCCCCCTCACTTCTCACTCCTCACTCCTCACTCCTCACTCCTCACTCCTCACTCTTCCTCCTCCTCCTCCTCCTCCTTCTCCTCCTCCTCCTCCTCCGCCTCTTCCTCTTCCTCCTCACACCTCCTCCTCCCCTTCCTCCTCCTCCTCCTCCTCCTCCTCCTCTTCCTCCTCCTCCTCCTCCTCACTCCTCCTTCTCCTCACTCCTCCTTCTCCTCCTCCTCCTCCTCCTCCTCATCCTCCTCCTCCTCCTCTTCCCTTCCTCTCCTACCTCCCTCCTCCTCCTCCTCCTCCTCCTCCTCCTCCTCCTCCTCCTCCTCCTCCTCCTCCTCCTCCCAGGCTCCGAGGACTACTGGGGCTCCGGGGCCTCGAGGCGGGGGGGCAGGCGGGGTGGCGGCGGCAAGAGGGCCCACCAGCGGTTGGGGCCGGCGACCGCCTCGGCGCTGGACGACCAGCTCGCCTCCTACTTCAAGTGAGAGGGGCCGCGGTGCCCGCCGTCGGTGGTCTCGAGCGGTGGGCCCGGCTCTGCCCGCCCTCGACGAGTGGCATGCTTCTTCTTGCCCTCCTCCTCCTCCTCCTCCACCTCCTCCAGCTCCTCCTCCGCCCCCTATTTCATCCCCCCTCCGCCCCCTCACGCTTTTCCTCTCTCCTCCTCCTCCTCCTCCTCCTCCTCCTCCTCCTCCTCGACGGACGTCCCATCGGCTACATTCGCTCCTCCTCCTCCTCCTCCTCCTCCTCCTCCTCCTCCTCCTCCTCCTCCTCCTCCTGGGCAATATGGGCAATCTGGGGGTGCCCTGCAACGGTCAGTGAACAGAGCAAAACAGTGAAGCAAAAGATGCGAGGGCTCCGCCCTCCTGCCGTCCTCTCCCAGCAGCTTGGCCGCCGCATCTCGGCGAAGGGAGCCCTCGCGAGTGGGAGCGCTTGTCCGAGCCTGAGCTCGCTCATGGTGGGGCGTCCTGACAGGAGCTGGCGGAGTTCCTTAGACCGAGTATTTCGCGCTGGCAGCGTTTGGCGAGGTGGAGCGCCTTCTGGGTGGCGAGCGCCCCGCCAAAAACGCAGAACAAAACTGGGGATCCGTGGGGAACCGTCCAGGCAACATGCACCTGGTGCATATTTTGGCCAGGGGCCGCCAGGACCCTGAGCGAAGAAGGATTCAACCGAACGTTGCAGTCAAAACGTTTTACCGCTTATATTACGCAAGCAAAACTCACATCTCCTGGTCCCCAGTCCAGGAAGGGTGTGTGTGTGTGTGTGTGTGTGTGTGTGTGTGTGTGTGTGTGTGTGTGTGTGTGTGTGTGTGTGTGTGTGTGTGTGTGTGTGTGTGTGTGTGTGTGTGTGTGTGTGTGTGTGTGTGTGTGTGTGTGTGTGTGTGTGTGTGTGTGTGTGTGTGTGTGTGTGTGTGTGTGTGTGTGTGTGTGTGTGTGTGTGTGTGTGTGTGTGTGTGTGTGTGTGTGTGTGGGGGGTCTTTCGGTCCTCGAGCACCCCTGGGGCCCACACTCCCCTTGTTAAGCTCCCCGAAGATCTTTCCTGGGGTTGGCCACTCGGCAAGGATCCAGGCCATGGAGATACACAGCTTATACTAGTGAGAAGCATTGTGAGTAAATTCATCAGCCAGCACAGGGTGAAACTCATGCAGCAACGCACCTTGACCCGCAAGCCAGTCAGCACACTTGATGCCTCGGATGGCCAGTAGGTTCTCAGAGCTCTATGATTGGTCCTCCTCTTTGCGGGCTTTGGTCGTCTTGACCGTTAACCAACCCTCAGGAATGTCAACAGCGATTTGGCGGAAGAAGTGAGAAGCAACCGGATCCTGACATAGAGAGAGGTATAGAGAAAGCCGTATGGCGGTTCAAGTTTGCCCTCAACAGACAGTGAGGCTGCTGGGGAGGCCCCCCTCAGTGTGGATAGCCCCTACCATCAGGGCCGCATGCTCCCCAACCCCAGAGCACTGCCCAACAAGTTTGAGAACGGGTCCGCATATAGCCCGATGCAAGGTCCTTTCGGCATCAAGTTCTCGCAGCCCAAAGCCAACTCGCGCTAGTTCTCCAATAGTTGGGCGACTGCAACTGCCGTCCGAGTGTAAGCATGCCCCACGGGAACATTCGAAGCTTTCGCAAGGACCTGAGGAATCTCTATAGTGCAGCTCCCAGTCTGGGGCTGGCTCTGGGACTTCGAATTTGGGCAGCCATTCTCGGGTAACAAAAAAAACTCTGGGGTCCCGCAGCTGTCGCATCCTGCATCATCTCGGGTGCACAAGTCTCCTGTCTTTTCTGAGTTCCGTGTACACGTTCCCAGCACCTATAGGAGTTGGTGTCTGGCCTCCCACAGAGCTTACACTCCGGGGTGGCAGAGTAGCCCCATTTCCCGAGGCTCTCCGCAGTGGGGACAGCTCCCACTTTTTCACTTGCCTGAGGACGATGACTAGGCTGGCTTCTGGCGTGGTTTTCGGGTTTCGCCTTTTCCTATGACCGTGCTGTGATACTTCAATGTTATTGCTATGCGATTGGCTAGCTAGTGCCCTACTAGAGCCATGCCTGTGCCATACTATGACACGTGGTCGAGGGGGCATACAGAGGAACGAAGCGCTGGGGCAGCCGTTATACCCCAAGAGAAGGAGGATGGAGGAGGAACCAGAGGAGGAGGAGGAGGAGGAGGAGGAGGAGGAGGAGGAGGTGGAGGTGGAGGGGGAGGATGACGAGGAGCTCAGGTGATGGTGATGATGCTGATGCTGCTGATGGTGCTGGTGATGCTGACGATGCAGTTGCTGCTGGTGATGAGGATGAGATCGATGATGATGCTGATGCTGATGCTGATGCTGATTATGCTGTGGATGATGATATTGATATTGATGATGATGACGATGATGATGACGATGATGATGATGATCATCATCATCATCATCATTCTGGTGATGCTGGTGATGGTGATGGTGATGCTATTGTGGAGATGGTAATGAGTTAGGGTGATGATGCTGCGGATGATGATTATGTTGATGCTGGTGGTGATGGTCCTGACCATGATCATGATACTGACGATGATGATACTGATGATGATGCTGATTATGCTGATGATGACGATGAGTAGTATGATGATGTTCATCATCATCATCATTATGGTGATGATGGTGATGGTGATGGTGATGCTATCGTTGAGAGGGTAATGAATGAGGGTGATGATGAGGATGATGATGCTGATGCTGATTATGATGATCTGGATCATGATGACGATACTGATGATGATGATGATGATGATGATGATGATGCTGATGATTATGTTGATGTTGATGATTATGACCATGCTTATGGTGAAGATGATGCTGATGCTGATGCTGTTGATGGGTATGGTTGTGTTTATGATTATGATGGTTGTGATCGTGTTGCAGACGGTGACGTTGATGATTGTGATGATGATGCTGATGCTGATGTTGATGATGATGGTGCTGCTGGTGCCTCTGCTGCTGATGATGGTGATGATGATGATGCCGATGCTGATGCTGCTGCTGCTGCTGATGATGATGATGATGGCGGTAATTATGACGATGATGATGAGGAGGAGGAGGAGGAGCAGCAGGAGGATGAGGAGGAGGAGGAGGAGGAAGAGGATGACGAAGAGGAGGGCCATCACCTTTTGTCTTCACTATGTGAAGAGCTGTCACGGCACTCGTTTGGACCGTCTTGGGGCTGAATTGGCATCTTGTGAAGCAGTCTTGGGGGTCTTGTGGGGCCCTCTTACGCCGTCTTGAGGTTCTCTTGGGCCGTCTTGGGGCCATCTTGGCCGCATGGTGTGTGTCTCTGGGGGCCGTCGTGGGTCTTCTTTGGGCCGTCGAAAAGGCCTTCTAATGCCGTAGCGGGTACCAGGGGAGGCCCTCGTCGGCCGCCTCTGGGCCGTCTTGGATGCCTGTTGGGCCCTCGCGTGAACTCTTGGGCCATCTTGGGACCCTCCTGGGGGCCCCTTGGGCCGTCTTGGGACCATCGTGGAGGCTTCTTGGGCCGCCTTGATCTGACGGGAGCCCGACAAGGCGAGAATGCTACTACCATTCGAACACACAAGGGAGACCAACGTGTTTGGCTTCTTCGGGAACTGTTGGGTCTGGAGGCCATGTTGGGCCACCTTCGGGGCTGCCTTGGGCCGTCTTCGAGGCACCTTAGGCCATCGTGGTGCCTCTGGCTGCCTGCATCTGCCGTCCTGGGAGCTCGGCACGCGGACTCAGCGTTTTTTTTGTTAAGGCCTCGGGAGCGCGGATCCACGATTTGTCTCGCGAGGGATCGTGACCTCGGAGGGGCGGAGGGGGGGGGCGATGCATGCAGTGAGATCCTGGTTTGGGGGCGGGTCTCTTCTCCTTTTCTCCCTCCTTCTCCTCGCCGGCCCCTACACATACGAACAAGCATACTGAAGGATCCTTGGAGTCAGTCGGATTCCCCAGGAAGTGCAACGTGCAAGAGGTTGCGCTTCCGTATTCTTCCACATTGGCGATGCCAGCGCAACCGAAAGCGAGCGCGCAGATCTTCTTATCAGTGCGCCTTCTGGGCAGTGAGAGCGTTCGGCTGGGCTACGGCCTTTACGCTCGTGTGCCTGAGTAGGTGGATGCCACTGCGGGTCCCGTTCTTGTGGTACGGGGTCCTCTTTGGACCCGTTGAGGGCTTCGTTGGGCCCAGAAGCCTCTTCGACATGTTATTGGGGCTTTCCGCTTGCATTAATATTATCTTGCTTGTTTCTAGCTCTATATTGGGCCCACTGGGGCTGTTGGGAGGCTTGTCAGGGACTTCTCGTGGCTCTCTTGGGACCTTCGTGAGGCCATGGGCCTTGTTGGACTCCTCCTGAGCTCCTGTTGGGCTCGCTTGGGGCCCAGTTGGCCCACTGTTGGCCATCTTGAGGCTTCTGAACCTTATCCGCAAGACCGAAGGCGAGACCGATGGAACTACTGGCGCTACGCATATTCCCACCACCCCATCCAGAAATGATCGCCAAAGGAGCTACCCTAATCAGGAAAGTGTAGGAACATCCATCCAGTGGAACAGACAGGTAAGCCAGCCGGGGCCTACCTTGGCGTGGAATTCTTGAGCTCGCCGTCGAAGGAGGAGGAGGAGGAGGAGACGGAGAAGGATCGATGGGAGGAGGGAGGAGTAGAGGAGTATAAAAAGGGGGGGAAGATGAGTAGGAGTCATGGAGTCATGGATCCAGCAAGTGCGCGGTGAACACCGCACGCAGGCGGGCCGCAATGGCAGGCAACCGGCACTCCGGGCCTCCCCCTTACGGGAGGAAACGGGCCCAAAGGGGCGCGCACCGACTAGCCTTGGATAGGCAGCTACCTCGTTGCCCAGCGACTTGCCTCCAGCTGAAAGGGTTTGGTGCGTAGGGAGACAATCGGTTCACCTCGTCACTGCGAGGTCGCTCCCGACTACAAACCCCTGTTCCTTCAGCCGGCATGCGCAACTGGGTTTGTTCCCCAGGGTGAGCGGGCACAAGGCCACCGTGG